AATTACAACAACACCAACAACAATGAGCGCATTTTACAACTAGCGCTACTGCTTTACTTGCGCCTCTTTCCAATCAAACCATACCCTCCTAAATACTTACATACAAGTAATCAGATGTTTTTGCTGCCACCAGCCACGCACACGCCGCTTTGCTGTTGAACTGGCTTGTCAGCAGTCAGACTGATGCGCGACGTCATTGTCTGCTTGGACAACAAGTCAACTACTGGTAGTTCTATGCACACACACATACATATGTATCTACAACTCTGTTTAGTTGTATGGTGGCCCCATCAGCCGTTTGCGCGACGTCTGACAGGTTGATTGTTTGTTTGGCCACTACAAGTTGCCCGGTTTGGTGAGATGGATTACTCGTCGCTTGATTGTTATCTATTCGTCAGTCAGTTCGGTATGTGATTGTTGAAATTGGTGTAGGTTATGATTTGTTTTGTAGCGTCATAAGTTATGAGGACAAGTAAAAAGTAGTTGTGACAGCTTTGTGGCTGAAAAAAAGTGGAAATGCCTAGTGTACTGATTTGTTGGAGAGAAGCGACTTAGAAAGCAAACGAAAGAATTGTTAGAACTTACACAAGTGGTTCTTGCTAATAAACATACGATTATTGTAATTTAGTTTAGCTGATCTGTGCCATTTAAAAGATTATTACTGCTATGTTTAGAAAATATATATTTTTAACTTCCCGCTAAGAAAATGGAAAATTTTCTAAAAATCGGGAAGATATTGGTTTCACCCCATTTTGCAAAAATCGAGTTCTCAACAAATCTCGACGTTCTGAGGGTCGAGGAAGCTTCCCCGAACATTTCTACGATGATGTCCGTATGTCTGTATGTATGTGTGGATGTATGTGTGTGTGTGTGGATGTATGTGACCCTCTTATAACTATTAAACTGCTCAACCGATTTGAATAAACTAAACGGCATTCCAAAGGGTTTCATTGCACTTGAATTTCGTGTAAGTTTGGACCCAATCGGACCAGTAGATTTCAAGAAATTTTTTCGAAACGACTTGACCGATCGACACCAAAAACTAATCAGTTCTAAACCTTGAAGAAACACATCGTTTGCCGCAAACCGGGTCGAAATCGGTTGATTTACTTGCTAGATATCGAAAACGAAAAATTTCGAAGAGCTCAAAAGCAGTGAAAAAAGCGAAATTTGAACGTTAGCGTATGAAATTAGAGGGAAGTTGCAGGGATGGCCCTTGAGGCCAACCGTTTTCCACATTTTTTTTGTATGTATTTTTGTGGTATTTAATTGTTTCTCGAACTATTTCTAAGAGTTTACCGTAATATGCAAAGGTATGAATTTAATTTCGCTATTTAAGTCGATATCAAGCTGTTCTACACTCTAGAACGTTTTTAATAAACTCGAGTTTATGGACCGATGTATTGACCATAAACACACTTTTGTTTTTACTTGGCTTAAATATGTCTCTCTTGTTTATGTTTTTCAGATATACACCATTTTTTGATTAACATTCTTGCATATGTAGCAGCGTATCTAAATAATGGGGTGAAAATGTGAAGTTGAACTCAGAGTTTTAAAACTTTCTAGGGATGCACTTTAATAAACCGAAACTTTGAACTCGAGTTTATGGCGCAATGAGTAATTACTATTAATTAAGGCAACAAAAAAAAAAAACTTGCTCCATTCTATAGAAAATTCTGAAAAATAGAAATTTTAAAAAAATTCCCACAGGAAAAAGTCATATTCAACGAAGTTATTCAATTAACATCTGAACCCTTAGCGTCCTACGAGATGATTTTTAGTTTTAATCTCAACCAATTGATAGCATATAAATTTTCCTTAAAAAGGTTTTTCAATCTCTGTCTTTCTCCTTTATGCTAAAACAGTGATTTTCGAGCACAACTGTTTTCACTTTTCTAGGATTATTCTTATGAACTAAGTTATTCGTATATTGTCGACGATAAGTCAAGTAACAGCCGACAAAAAGACCAATTTCGAAAAAAGTATTGCCTCATTGAAGACTACCCATCTAAAGAAAAGAGCAGTTATATACCACCTCTAAAATTTTCTTCAATATAATTCTTGTAAAAGTACCTAAATTTTCAAAAATGCAATAACTTCTTCTCAAAAAACTATCGAACTAATGTAAAAGGCTCCTAAGATGTTACATATGCCCCTGTAAGTATGCAAAGAAATGAACGTAGATGCGCTTTACAAACTATTTCTTATACATACCTACATACTTATCATCTACAATGCAATTAAATAATTGGTTTTACAATAAAAGGCGACGTAACAATCAGCAAACAATTCCACAAACAATTAAGAAATTCCGCAGAAAAATATAAGAAATAACATACATATACCATATAAATATATACTTGTATGTGGTAGATGGCTTTGAAAATGAAAAGGAAATAAAAGTTTAGCTTTTGTACGCTTGCTTGGTCACGGCTGTGTTCGCTGCGCGATTTTACCGCTCAATTGGTCAAATGTAACCAAGAAAATTGCAATTGGCTGTTAGTGAATAAATTGGCGTTGTTTCTGTTGTTGTTGTTGTTGTTGTCGATAGCATACCAGCACCTAAAACGGTTTTCTACAAAACATTTGCATTTTGCCATACACAACATGATAGCAGCGACGCGCGAGGCTGCATGCGCGTTTAAGTGTGTGTTCATGTATGTGAGAGTATGCCAGCGCGTGTGAGCGTGTATGTGTGTGTCGCGCGTATATGACAATTGCGCTGCCGGCAATTTTCGCGTTGTTGAGAAGCTGAAAATAATTTATTATTTTTTGCTTGGCTGCGCCAGTGGAAAAGCTTGCTAAAGATGTTGTTACTGTTTTTGTTGCTATTGTGCATGCAAGACTTTGTTGCAGCTGCTGTTGTTGTTGGTATGAGTTTTATGCAAATTGTTACTGGCGCTGCGGCGGTCACTTTAACTAGCTGCTCGCTTTGGCTGATAACTGTTCGCGGCGGCTGCTGGAGTGGCTGCTGCTATTGTCTTTGCTGTTGCTGGTGTTGTTGTTGTTGTTGATGTCGCTTTGGTGTTCATTGTCGCCTGTGGCATTGCATGCACACTTAAGTGTATACTCAAGTCATGCTGTTGCTGCCTTTGTTGTTGTTGTTGTTGTGCATGCTGTTATTTTTGCCATTGTTAGTGATACTTTTTCATTTGTTGCTAGTCATTATTTAACATTCTCGTTGCTGCCTGCTACTCGTATATTTCGTTCTTGTCGCCTTAGCTATTTTAATGCTTGCAATTGTTGCTGTTGTTGTTGTTGTTGCACGCTTCACCCCATGCGCGCACCTTCACGCTACATTTTGTTATTTACGAGCTTGCTTTTCATGGTGTTCTTGCGGGTAGTCCACATTCTGTTGTTCCCCGACCGTAGCTTGTCACCACACCCCACCTCATCTCACCTCACCCCTCCACTCGACACCACACCCTGTTGCCCAACTGCGAGTAATTATTATATTTCTTCGTCGCATTTTATTTGTTGACATTGTTGTTGGTGGTGTTTTTGCTGCTGCTGCTGTTATGGACCAAAGCGATCGTGCTCTAGGTGCGCTACAAGTGACGCTTTGCGTAGGTAGTGGCTATTAGTTGCATGCACTTTGCTCTACCTCTACTCTTTGCAGTTGGTTTGCTCATTTCGTGTGGCACAAAGGAATTTGACCACCATCAGCGCCAGCTACTTGGTTCGTTCAGCTGCCTGCCTCGTTCGACGGTGGCTCATTTATTTTACATTCCTGCTGGTTTGGACTCGTGTTTTAGCGCCATTCTTAACAGCGGGGTGGCGTTGCATGGAACTCAAAGGTTACCAAAACAAAGAACGACAATGAAACATAACGAAATTAGCTCATGTGGACTATAAGAACTTGTTGGTGCAATGTAATGTTATTTAATATTAAATGCAATGCTAAGGAGGCCAAGGAAGAAAAGAAATATTATGTTAGGTTAAGTTAGATTAGATAGATAAGGCTTTAAGATGGTGCAGGATCATATTTAGAGAGCTATGTACAGTCTCTTGTAAATTAAGATAAAAACAGCCCTGTAGCTGGATATCAGCTATGGGTAAAGCGTCTTGAATCTATCAAAAATCTGCTTTTGTGCTTTATTTCTGTTTCCGCAATTTCACCAGGATGTCTGAAAGAATGAGATCAGAGGTATTTTAGCAATAATCTAGCAAAGGCGGAACATTCGATAAGGAAGTGAATTTATTTAACCTTCTGCCAAAGCCTTATGCAAATGACATGTGAAAAAACTTTTAATAAATTCCAATCAAACAGTGTCCAGTTAGCAACTCCTACAATCATTGAAAGGTGAACTTTGCTGAGGATCAAGAGCTCACTAAACTTCTTACCATTTACTTTGGGCCCGAAAAACCGTGTGGCTGCACAGTTGCTAGGAGGCGACCAATTCTTGTTGTGCTGTTCTGAGGCCCAACCAACTAGTAGTGAACCTCAAGAAGCCAACGGAGCTCCTACTCATTCCCCATTCCCCATTTTGCAGCTAGTGCGACTGAAGTACCTGCCTTATTGAGCTCATTAGACTTGCAGTTACCTGCAATACCGCTGTGGCTGGACACACCAAAGCCAATCTATTTATGAAGTAAATCGATGTCAGAGATAAGGAGTCTAGACCTTCATTTTCGTTAGTAATTTGCGATGAGAACTTTTAAATTTTTAACATTAATCATATTTTTGGAACGCTAACCCTAAAACTGTTATATAAGTAGTACTGGAACGAGAGAAAGTTTAATAAATGGATAGCTTTTCGTATTGTGAAATTGAGAACCGTCCTATTAAGGAGAACTACACTGAGATATTTGTAACAAAAATGCTTCAGCTGATGACTAGAGATTTAGTTCACTCTGGAACTTCACGCTAAAAAGGAATACTTTAACCTTCAATATTTTTTCTATTTTTAATGAAATATATCTTTTATTGCATACAAAACACATAAAATATCCCTAGTAATAATAAAATTGAAACAATTTTCCTTTATTTTTTTCAGGCCAGTTCAACATCAACAATTGCCGCGTACCAAACCGCCCAACTGAATGCCACAAATGCTATTTAAAGCTGATGTTTATGTTAAAGAACGAAAAGAGGAAACAATTATTGCCAAGTTTTAAATGCGCAATACAAATACAACAAGTGCCATACACAAACAAAGAAACGCAGCTAAAACGTAACACCACGTAACATAACGTAACGTAACGCAACGAATTCCGTCCAATCATACTGAGATTCTTAGTGCCTTTTTACAAACAAAACAAAATTAAACAACAAAAGTATAATATAAAAAAAAACAAAAAAAAGTTTTAAACAACAATCGACATATGATATATTTCTAAGAAAAAATACAATTAATAACATTAACATAGTTAAGAAAAGAGCTTCCAAAAGTTTAACGCAAAACTTAGTAGTAAGATTAAAGCACACCTAAATTGATAAACATACATTTAAGATTTTACGTTTTAAACATATATTACAAGACATGCCTAGGATTTCATAAAAGCACAACAGAAAAGCTTTTACGCATAGAACGCCATAGCAAATATAAACGTAAAAGAAAGCGCTACAGTAATTCAAAGCAACTTGTGGGCACTTTTGAAAAGCGCACGAAAGCTCTTGATACAGTGAAAGCTGCTAGCAAAGCACGAAAGCTCAAAGGATTTGAAAAACTTCAACTCTACAAACGGCATACAAACACATATACAGCTTCGGCTTAAGCTTTAATTTTTATACATTCTTACTGTGACTTGTGCCTCGAGCTGGAGCTTAAGTATAAGAAGCATAAGATGTCCGCATCGCCTGCTACTACTAGTGTCATCACTTCGAACGAACTTGCCATACAACAACAACAACAGCTTCAACACCAGCAGCATCAGCATCAACAACAATTACAAACGCACAGCTCCCCCGCGCGCGTCTCCCTACCAGCCGGTGTTACTGTGACCAACGTTGTGACCACAACGTCTGCAGCAGCTGCCGCCAACGCCAACGGTTTAACACTAATGCATCGCTCTCCCGATAGTCCACAGCCCGAGTTGGCCACCATGACAAATGTCAATGTGCTCGATCTACATACAGACTCATCGAAACTCTATGACAAGGATGCGGTCTTTATTTACGAAAGCCCAAAGGTGGTCTTGCCGACAGTGGGCACCGGTGCGACAGTCACCAATGATGAGCATGTGATTGATGCACGGATGGTCGCCCAATTGAATGAACAGCAAGCAGCTGTTGCAGCGGCTGCTGCTGCTGCGGCAGCAGCCAATGATAATCAGCCGTTGGCTAAGATCGAATTCGATGAAAATCAGATAATTCGCGTTGTCGGTCCGAATGGCGAGCAACAACAAATCATTTCACGTGAAATAGTCAACGGCGAACATCACATACTGTCACGTAATGAAGCTGGCGAACACATACTCACACGCATTGTAAGCGATCCGACAAAGTTGATGCCCAGCGATAGTGCGGTCGCCGCAGCGATGTTCAATCAGGCACAGAAAATGGCCAATGATCATGGTGTGTATCAGACATCGCCATTGGATGCCTCAATGCTGCAGCATTATGAGCCAGATAATGTCGTTAAGTCAGAGGTGGATATATATGATGATCCGAAGAAACCGCCCGGCAGCAATGGTGGTGGTCAGCAAATACTCTACACCACAACTGGTCCGGATACTGGGAAGCAATTATCACATTTGCCTGTTACCACGAAGCTGGAGACGGAAATGTATCCGACAGACAAACATATCGATTTAATTTATAATGATGGCAATAAAACCGTTATATACACTACCACAACCGATCAAAAGGGTCTGGAAATCTATTCGGGCGGTGACTTGAGTGGCCTGGTTGCCGATGGGCAGGTGGTAGTGCAAGGTGGATTGCAGTATGCCGGCGCTGGAACAGCTGGTGGACAACCGGTCTATATAGTATCCGATGGTAGCTTGCCACCTGGCGTTGAGGGACATTTGCAAAGGTAAGTGAACATTTTGTATTATACCTTAGCACCTGGCGAAAATAAGGTGACTTACTTTAATCTGGATTTAATATTATATAAACGACATCTATGATGGACAAACATTTTTTAGTCTCAAGTTCATGATCTTGAACACCACACACACTTAAGTTATGATTTTATTATTTCTAGATGGAAACGCGGAGCATTGGTACTCCGTGTTCTTGTAAAATATTTTTCCTTGATTGTGGGCTCACCTAAGCTTAGCTTGGGCAGAAAACCCAGCTGGTTGATCAGATTTCATACTATATTGTCGGTAGTGAGTATAAAAACGCTAAAGTTTTTATCACTCACTTATTTCGAAAGAACAAGAGTAGTACCATATAATATCATCGGATTCTAAAAAGTAACTTTGGTAACTCGTTATTGTGGCATTGATAAGGTATGGATGTTCAAATATAGTTTATTAAGAGGTGTTTAGATTCGTACTATATTCTGTTTCGATCTCCTTATTCCCATAATCAAGTATCTCTGCTTAAAAGTCCGATTAAGTATTTCGCTCTTTGTTCAAGTATTGTAAGGCTACTTACATACCATTTCGTCATGTGTTTTCTGCCTTCTAAATTCATTTGTAAAACTACAAATTTTATAATCTTAATTTTCAAATCTGTTTAATTCAACCTACAGCGTCTGTTTCCCATAGTTTTCTTTAAAGTAAAGATTTGCCTGTCCGCCAATCCAGCTAATTGTACTTTATTGTAGCCGCCGTCGTTGCTCGGCTGTCAGTCGGCGTTTTGGTGTGGCATGCAACATGTTACCGTTATAATGTCGTTGTCGCTGACAAAGTGATAACACAACTGTCACACTACACTCTTCGCTAATGGCTAGAATGCAAGCGCGCGCGCCTACGCCCCGCCGATCGAATGATAAATTCCACGAGACAGTTGGCTGCATGTTTTCTGATCGAACGCTGCGACCCGGCGCAGTGTTGCATTTGGCAGCTGAAATTAATTGCTGCGCTTTATGGTTTCAATGAAAATGCTCAACAATTGCTTGATATTTTTCGTTGTTTTTGCTGTTATTGTGGTTCTATTGGTGCTTTTTCTTTGTTTTTGTTTCAAGTAAGTGCAAGTTGCTGTTTCTTCACTTGTTTTTGTTTTGCTTTTGCATTTTGTTGTAGGTTTAACACATTTTAATTATTCGCAATTTATTTTCGTTTTTATAGCTGTCACCGCCTTTAGCCATTCGTGCGCTTTAAAGCTCCGCAACGCTTAACAGTGACGACATAAAATCGCGAAATCATTACGCTTTCGCAGTTATATATATGTATGTATATATATATATATATATATATATATATATATGTATGCATGTATGTAGCTGCAGGGGCTCATTGACTGTTGGTTGGCGGCACTCTCGGCTTGGCCACTCGGTAAGCTGTGAGTTTTATTGAATTTTCATGTTCAATGGACATTTTTATATAATCTTGCCAACTTCATTGAGTGAACTGGATGCTCAAATGGCTGTAAAGGTTTGTGCGTTTTAAGTCTATACTTGGCCGCAATTACAGGGTGTTCGTCTGTTCTAAATTGGTAAAATTCTTGAATGGCCTTGTAAGAGTCTAGAAGACAACGACTACTTCGTCTTTTCTTCTGAACAGTTCAACGCTAAAATAAATGGGCTAAAGCATCGAAGATTCAGGGTGAGGTATTTTTGCCAATTAGATCAAAAAGAAATTAGAGAGAGCGAAAAACACTTCTCGAGGAGATTCTTTGGTCCAGCGTTTTTTTTCGCTAAGATAAAATAAGTTCACCGTTAGTCTGTGAGCTTGCTGTCGCTTTTCTAGAATTCTCGAGTTTAATATATATATATATTTTTATAACATTACACCGGTCAAGTATCTACTGATGCTTTCCAAGCAAAATCTGGGAAATTTTTATCTCACAAAAAGTTCTCTATAAAAATGAGGTAAGTTTCTGGATAGTCTTCCAAGTTTTTCTCTTCTCCCAGAAATATGAAAAAAAAGATTTCAAACAGCTTAAACAGAATCAACTCAGTTACACCGATATAATAAAGTTCTTTCGTAGTAAAAGCTTTCTCAACACCCTGTTCTGTGGTTTGTTCTCAGTACTGCTGTAGTCATATCAATTCTTTTTGTTGCTCTTTTTGCTCCAATTCCAATTCTTTCTTTGCCTTTCGCGGCAGCATCGCTCCGAGCTTGTGTGACGTGGACTCGGATTATTTATGGATACACGCACCATTCAACGACGCAACGCATTAAAACGGCAATAACAACAAGTACATCGCTTGCTCCCATTTTCGAGCGTTAAAGATGCTCCAGAAAGTGCTCTACTTTGCGACACTTCGTGCGTACAGCCCGCAAGCGCCATAATATTGCAATATTTGAGTTATCCGTTCGTTGCCTATAAAGTGAAGTAGACTTTGGTTGTTGTTGTTGGTGGTGTTGCTTTTACTGGCTGGCACCGTTGCAGCACGATGCTGTTAATTAGCTTTAGCTTTTGCTATGTCACTTGGCAGTTGCAGACGTGGATGCGAACGTTGCACGCCTTCCGTTACCCAAGCGGCTTTCATGGCAGCGCATCGAGAATGGAGAGCACTTACTTGCCACATGCGGATGCTGCACCAATTCTTTCAGCTATTTGATGTGTTTTGAATTTTTAAGTAGGCGACTTAATAGCCAGAAATGAATGGACAGGTCGGTAGACAGACAGACGGACCGACAGGTAGGCAGGCGATAGCCAGCTATGATGGTCTGTTTGAAGAAGTTGGCGAGCGTGGACATCGCATGTTAGCTGGATGATCGCTAGCTGTAATGTGGAAGTGTGTGTGTGTGTGTCGCAACGACCTCTTATTGGAGTAATGAACGCTACTGGTGATTTGTGGTATTTGCTCTTATTGCGTTATTGTTGTTGTTCTTATTATTACAGCCATTTCATTTGGCACATCCGCTGTGGCTCTGGTGTGCGCTCTAACTGCTGCCAGCCGTAAGGTGTTTTCTTTCTTTTTCCTCCTTGCAACATGGCCATCAGCTTCCTTCACATCGTCTTCGTCGGACGCTGTCGTGCACGTCGTTTGGTAATAAAAATTTGAATAGAAATTAATCTAATGTAGAACCGTTAGGCGTGCAACAAACGACATGGGATGAAAACGATTACTGTTGTTGTTGTTATTTTATCTGCAATATATATTTTTCCACTTTGATAAGCTGACAAGAAAACGGAGCAGCAAAAGCTGCGCTGCTTCGTCTCTACTTCGGCGTTGGTGTTGGCTAAGCTGTATGTTGTTGTTGTAATTTTTATTTTTCTTGCGCAAACTTTCTCACATACTCCTATAAATAATGAATGAAGCAGAATCCTTATGTTGCATGCAACACACACGGCCTGGTTCAGCAGAGTACTGTACTCTATACATATGGCAGCTTAAGCTTTGACCGCGACACCATCGTCAAGCAGTTTAGAATATTCGGTCCTAACTGGTCGTCGTATTGATGGACATTCACCGCTTGTAGCTTGCTGTTGTTTTTTTGTTCGCTTAGCTCCCTCTTGATTTCACATGCAAATTCATGCAACTACAATGCTGTATGCCACGCTATGTCGCTCTGTGCTGTGAGTGTCATACCATAGTTGCAACATTCAAGTGACTTGTGGCATGCTACATTCGCATGCGGCTTGCAACTGTGCCACTGATGATGGAAAGGATGTGCTGCTGCGATGACGACGATTAGCATCAGTGAAACGATGCAAGCATATTATGTATGGTATATATGTATGTATACTTACATATATACATATCCGAAGTGTGACAGTTGACCGACGCTTGCATGTGTGTGTTTAAAATTGTGTCGCTGTGTGTTTTAGAATAATATTTGCTTGGCCTGGTGACTTGCTAAATTTCTATTGCGCCAATGTCTTTCGCGATGCGTAAGTCCGATAAGCGTGATGCTGCTGTAGCTTTTTGAAACTTTGTTGTTTTTGTGCCGGTGTGTTTAGGATGTAAAACCTTATGTTAATGTGTGAGAGAAGAAATGATTATTTAAAAATTAATTTTTAAATGAAATAAACCACAATAAGAAAGGACCATTAATTGGAAGAAGACATGTAACAGTGTCTTTGAAGCAAATTTTCTAGGAAGTCCAATTAAATGGGTTCGGCATATGTTTTTAATATTTTGGAGTTTGAAAAGCGTAATTGATAATCGATGATTACATTAAATTGTATAGTCAAGACTTTCTTTCTATAAAATCTTCCGCTTTGGCTCCATGGCGTGTAACCCACTTGGACAGCCGTGAACTCGCAGATATGTATCACTAGACTCGTAAAATTGGTCTACCAATATGTTTTCATCACAATCTGTCAAAAGCTGCACAGTTGAGAAGAAAGTACATAATTAATTTGGTAGAATGACATACGCATAAACATCATTAGTGCACTTTCTCAATAGTTCAAATAACATAATTTAGGTAATTTCTGCTGCGTGATCTGCTCAAAGCCACAATTGCTCCTAAGTGCAAAAAAAAAGAGTAAGCAATCACAATAATGGTGATCATCTGCACCATTGACTAACACAAACACGAATCTTATCTCCACATTTTATACCATTTTTGTGCGCTTTTAACAGTATTTGGTGGAATTTTCATATGAAATTTTATGTAAATAAATGCCATGTAAATAAGGTTACGCATACGCCCCGCAGCACAATTGCAGAGTTCGTAAAGAGAAACGCAGAAAATCGGTGATTGATATGCAAGCAAAGCCAAAAAGTCAAAAAAATAAAAAATAAAATAAAAACACAACGTGAATAACAATGCTTTTGTATTGGCAATTTTCACGATTACAAAGACAACTACAACAAACCGGCGAATGCGTAAAATTTGCATACAAAAGTGCCAGCGTTGAGTGTCCACTTAATGCAACAGCGCGACGCCTATGGTTGGACACGAGTACGCACACTGCGAAAATTTAGCACGATTTAACATATTTTATTTTATAAAAAACCTACAA